ATGCGATGCTGCACTGGCTCCTGCCGCATGCTGCAGTCCGTTATGCGCTGCGTATGGGCCGTAGCAGTCTCCAGATCGCGACGCACCCTGATTGCCTTGCTCGTGAGATCGACAAAGATGTAGTTGAGCTCATGCGAGGTGCGCCCCTCCACCTTGTTGGTGCCATCGCTGACCAAGCTGAACGTGGACAGCGACGTGTTGGATGATCTGACCAAACTAATTGCCGACAATGATGAGTTCTCCCCTACTATATCCGAACGTATTGGTTTGGTAACAGTTCTCTCGCGATCCGGTTCATTGTATCTGTGATCCAAACGTTGCACAATATTGACACAAGTGCGCAGATCGCTCTGTATGAGCTTGCACAGTTCCAGCGCCCGATCGAGTTCTCGATCTTCGGTTTGGATCATTCTAAATGAATGTTTGTGTGTGTTTTGGTTTATTTTTAAGACGTGTATCACACGAAACAATTTCGAATGTCGTTTAAAAAAAATTTCAAGGCGAACTACATGAATTTCGTATTGTAACTATGCTATACACTGTATATTAGCAAATACTTACACATTCCGAAATAATCAACTGACAGTAATGAAGCTTGTATACTTTTTCGGCGCTAAACAAAGATTTTAACTTTCCTCACCCAAGCGAAATATTTCAACTGAATTCAAATTTTGTGTGTTTCGTAATGTAACATGTATCATACAATTTATAATCGTCGACATAAGTACTTTGACATGCCTGCCACATATATATTTCTAGTTTCTTTTTCGATAGTAAGCAGATTTTTATATTTTACTAGAAAACGAAAACGTCTGCTTGAAACCATCTTCTTGCTTGTAATGCGGATAGTATAAACAAATGTATACAATATGAATATGAAGAATGGTAAATTACAGGATCAGTAAGAAACAGCTAAGTTCTTAGATGTATATTTTAAAAACGTTACAAACCGCTTTGTGAACGCATTTATCCCCTCTATCTCGCACTCTCCCCCTATTTCTATCTCTCCAATAAAACGCAAACATGACTTTTGTAAATCTCCGAGCGACGTTTACTCATTAGTATCCGCGGGTTGGCGTTGACCTCGGGCACGTGTAATAGATACCTGACTGGCGAACTGACTCTGCGATTGTGCGTCTGCTCCTGAGGGCGGGCAACCTCAAATAGAAAGCAATTTCAGCACCGCAAACATAGCACCAAAAGGGAAAGCACAAAAATTAAATTTCCAGTGCAGCGTTAAAAGTGAAAAGTAAATCAAAAGTAAATCGTGAGAAACCAAAACCGAAAAATATAAAAGATGCGATATGCATATATATACACATATATATTTATATACACGTTTAAACGCGGCTTAGCGTATTTGTCTCTTCTCTTAAACAATATATTAAAGTTTTCATCTATATTACATTAACATATATAGGCATATCCTAAAATTTGGATAAGAAAGCATGCATTTATGATTTCTCCATTCTTGATCATCAACTGACAAGTTGATCTAGCGTGAGTTGAACATCAGGTGCAAAATGCGCCAGTCCAAGAAATTTTTCCGAACTTTGAAGTTGTTTACGCAGCCCGCAAACTTTACACTTACCTCAAGAATGCCACGCTGCGTATGCGTAATGTGCGTGCAACCCATGTGCAAGCCAGAGGCTACGTGTTGCGAAAATCAATGAGCCACCAGCTGCTTGGCACCAAACTGAAATCGAACTTGCCACAGAGCGCAAAGTGTTTGACTTGCGACAGGAAACGCGTTGCTGTTGGTGTCGCATTTGTTGTTGATACCTGTTCGTGGTGCAGCGTTAGTTGCATAGTTAGTTAGTTGGCTTAAAGTTTTCCAGCAGCAGCACAGTCAAGCCAAATGACTTTTGGCTGCGTGCATAGCCAGTCGGGTAATGAGTAAAGTTTAAGCAATCAGCCGCGGAAGCACTCTGAATACCTCGCATTTGTTGACTGCAACAATTTTTAATTAAATTTGCCTGCCCAACATTTAGCAATAAATATTGCTCTTCAGTTTAATAAAAATGCTCCACTCAAATGAATTCACAAGCAAAAGAAAAAAGTTCTGCTCATACCCATGTGAAGGGTATTGTAATATTGCCACGAAATGAGCAAAGCAGCCGACTCTAGCTATTCTCTATCGATATCAGCCGGATCAGTCCACTATTTTATATAGTAGCCGCATGATCTGTGGAAATGCGGTTCCTCCAAAGAAAGCTCTTGTGCAAACGAAGCTCCTTATATGTGAGGGAAATCTTATCAAAAAGAGTGACTTGATATACAAAATCGGACTTTTCTTCAAAATATTACGAGTCTCATGCTTCTTATCGATATATATATTGCTCAATTCATCAGATATAAGGCTTGAAAGGCACATGTCTAAAAGGGTATACGATTTTCGCCATGCCAATGATAGTTATTCTTTCCCATTTTCTTTGTAAGTCAAGCGTGAAAAATAAAATGCTTTTCATTATTATTTTCCTATTTCATGTTCAATGGTAAAGTTACTTTGCACACAAAGTTAAAAAGTTATTCATTAATATGCCATTTATATCTGCTGCCTGCCAAAACGGCATCAGCACATAAGATTGATCGAACTGAGATTTTAGCAATAAAAACACAAACTGAAACTGGATTATCATGTTATTATTTTAAGTTATGTTCATTTAGTTAAGTGCACGCATTCTGGATTTATTGATTTCTCACGTGCTTTAAATCTGTTCACATATATGAATTAAAGATAAGTCTAACGTTGAATGCAAAGAATTGGAGATTAGTGAGAAGTATATTTTTTGTATATTTTATTTTTGATTATTTCACTTCATTTTTGCGTACTTTAAAATTAATTTAACCACGCTTGTAACTTAAACTTTGAGTTCTTACCTCTCAATTGATTTTCCCTGTGTGCTCATAGGGAAATGCATTAGGGAAATTGCCAGGCTTAAAACTATCGATTTAATAGTCCATCAATTGACAGCATCCACTTAAGCCCCGTAACTAAGCGAATCGAAGTCAGAGGGCTTTAAGCCGATTTCGGCAAAGAGTGCTGCTCAATGGCGCTATTGTCAGCGCATTATCGGCTTACCATATGCATGAGTGCAGGCTCAAATACAAATACATGCACAAACACACAGATGCACACTCACAGACACTCACAGACACAAGCTAATAGCAACAACAAGTGCAGCCAAATATCGAATGTAGCTCTTTGTGCATTTTCACAAACATTTAGCTAGTCGTTTTTGTAAGCGACATTTATTTTAAAATCTCTTTGTATGTATGTATTTTTGTACCCTGTGCAAATTGAAAATGGGTATAAAATATCATGTTTTTATATCTCATGAGTTGCCCTAATATCAAGAAATATCTAGAGATATCTATTTCTATATGTAGGTTTTCGTATATATACATAAATATACATATACCGCTTTTGATAAGTATTTCTTTGTGATAATGCCAAGTGTAAGCCCTGTACATGTGAGCAAAACAGGGACTATTAACACTCAAATTATTCATGAACGAATTTTTCATGGTGTAGGAGTAAGAGTGGAAGAAGCACAGCCGCGATATTAAGGACGTCGCTTGTGGCGAGCGTGCTTGTGTGTGTGTGTATGTGAGTATGTAAGTGTAGGAAGGTCGAGCGCTTATTATGCGGGCAATCTCGACTTGTTTATTTTCTTTTGAACTTCCAGCAGGTAAATCAGTAGGTTTCCACTGCCTGCCATAATATATTAGACTTGATGTGGAGAGAAGTTCAAAAGTGGTCAAGCTGCCAAATTTATATATTTTCTTGCTCTAATAGAAACAGACGGACGGACGGATGGCTGCACAAACGAATCTAAGGACAGCACGAAGGACTTAACAAAATCAATGTTCATTTCTTGAACAATTTATAATTATATATAATAGCAACGACCTAGGTTATACTGTACTTCGCACCATAACAAATAAGTTTGCTGAAAAAGCTCTGTATCTATCCAGAAATTTAAGCATTTTGTTTATAGCGAGCTTAAGCTTTACTTATCCCAAATGTAACATATAACCCACAGGAATTTATGAACTAGTAAAGTTCTCATAAGCACACAACATTCCTTTTACAAACCGTTGCTCTACAGGGCATGGAACCTACAAGGAGTGGAGCCTTTAATAAATAATTAACCTTAAGCCGATTGTTTTTAACGAACGGCACATGAAGCCGCCAGTCAGACACAGGTGCAGACTGAGGCACATGCTCAAGCCGTAAATTTGACAGTTAACAATTCTGTTTTTCGGGTTGTGCACATATTTGCACTTAATATTCGTCACACTGAAAAATGGTTGATTGATTGGGAAACGTAATCCAGTTAACTAAGTTGTCGCCTACCTTCGTTAAGGCAACCATTTTTGCTGCACTTCAATGAATTTTGGGCTGAAGAGACTTTAAAATTGATGTGTGTGTTGAAAATGTGATTTATGAGGAACTGAGCAAAGTAGCCCAACGAAGCGGGCATCCGCTTTGTGCGCTTTTCATTATGCGGCAACAATTTTGTGGCATAAAATTGATGATTTTGGGTCAAGGTGGAAAATCTTAAATATTGATGGGGTAAACTGATGCTATTATCAAGGCAGAATTTGCATATTGCATTTTATCATATACTACACATTATATTTAATTCGTTTGTGGCCTATGGGATGGTTCTGTTCACTTAAAAATAAATTGAGCAAAGCAGATCGAAGATTAAATACCCTTGCAGTGCTTACAGCTTGTGCAGATATGTAAGTAAAATATTAAAGCTAATCGCTGACAAGTTAAACATCTTTAAAACAATATCGTTTTTCGTACAATACCCGATTTTCAACTAATTATTTCTGTGTTGATCCAACTCCATGTATCTTAACAGAGAAAGAATTCATAATGCAAGGCAGATTTTGACATGTAATAAAGTATATATATAAAAACATATACCATAATGGCTTGCTATCGACTTAAGTACTCTTACCCACACTTTGGCAGAGCTTAGTTGTTTTCTTGCTAGAATTGTTGCGGCAGACGAACTTTTAATCTGTGTTCATGAAACAAAACTATTGTACTATAAAATATAACTAAAAACTTAACACTCTTGTAAATCTTGCTCATTACTGCTTATCAATTGCATCTTTCGAGTCTTCGCAATTGGAATATGCCCCGTCACATTCCTTCTCCTTGGCGATGTCATCTTTTATTTGCTCTTGGGCAATCGAAGCATTTTGGTCTGTATCTTCAACCAATTCTGGCTCTACGATTTCTTCTATAATCTGTAGATCGGTGGCCAAGGCATTCTCCACGGTTACCTTCATTTCCTGAAGCTCAATATTGAGCTGCCGGATGCACATCAAACTAGTCCGAGCACGTACTAAGGCTTGGGAAATGCGTTCACGTAAATTTTCTTGCTCGATGCGCATATTTGAGGAGTTCTCCCTAAGGCATTCCAATATCATTAAACGATGTTCTATGTTGTACAAGTCCATAGCTGAATTAGTTCAGATACATTCAATTTTCAATTTTAGAGCGAGTTGTGTATAGGCTTGTGTCTTTTGTTGAATTCGTCGAATAATATTATAATGACTTTATTGTAGACGCCTGCTTGCCAAGCCCACCCACAACATTAGTTGATTGATGGCATTTACTTAATACAATTATTTGATTAAGCCGATTAAGTACTTGTTGGCTTATCTGTTTACTATGGTTGACCAGCCGGCAAATCGATGTCGTAATAAACTCGAAATTATGATTCACAATTAAGGTATTAAAGGCCTCAGTCCATCTCTTGGCTAAACTGGCTTCCCAGCTTTTGTGCTGTGTGCTGCATAATTGATTATCCTGTGGGCAAAATATGTCCTTGGCTTGCGACTTCATTTTCCCTTCTGCTAGCAAAGTAGAAGCTGTTAAGCTCAATGTTGATTCAAATTGCGTTGACAGCGTTTGCTGGATTTTATTTTGATTTAATCTATGTCTTTCTCGTTTTATCATAAGACAAACCTTAATTCTTTCTCATCTTACTTTTAGTTTTGTTTTTTTTTTTTTATAATTTTTTAAGTGAGCACAAATTTTAATTGCTCAAAGCACATGATTTTTTCCTTTTTTTTTTGTTGCTTATCTTTTTGCACTGTCCACTCTCTAAGGGTTTGCTTGCCCTAATTGGATTAATTGGCATGCTGCGGGCTTGCCTTGAGGTTGGGTCCATGTGACAGTAAAAAGGGCGCTGAAAATTAAAAAAATCCGTTGTCTCCTTGATGGAGGTTGTAGCAAATTGATCATCTATATAGCTTTAAGCAAAATACATATAACGATTGTAATTTGTAATGATTTGTGGATCCGTTTTAAACTATGAACGAGAAATATAATATTAAAATATTAGGAAACTGCATCTTCCTCAAAATATTTTATTTGTGTCATTTATATATATCCAACTAGAAAAACACATTAAATGCTCACAAAAGCTAATACTACATAATTTTATAATCGTCCACACTGGAATTTGTTTATGCATAACTGATTTCGTTTCATACTAAAAACATTGTCCATTTCGCTCAGTTTCTTTGTCAGTGCAAAATATATTACGTATACGCAGTGGTCGCTAATCAAATAAGCTACGGAACAGGAACTAAAACAAAAACTGTAATCCGAGACATGAAACTCACAACGCACTCAAATCCGCTTTTAAACAATTTGTCGGCAATTTAGCTAGAGAGGCGCACACATACGCAAGATGGTTAAAAAAGCACACATACATGCATGCACATGAGCTCTGCTGTTTTGCTTTACAGTTTTGTGTCGGAGACACAAGCGACACCTGTTGCCTTCTACCAGCAACTTACACTCAATTTCATATGCTCACTCAGTCTCTTTCGGCGCTCTTCTGCATATTTGTTGTGCTCTGCTCTTTCGCCGGCAACAACATACTCATATTCGGTTTGGCGCCATAAGGCAATCTGTTTTTTCTCACTCTTCGCTCTCCGCTATGCTTCGCGCTCAATGTTGGAGAACTGGTGCTTCCAGCTGTGGCTTTGGCATGCCTTGGCTCAGTTTACATTTCAGTTCAGTTGTCGCTTGTTAGTCGCCACGTGCGGTTCGGTTGCTGACTTTTGCTCCGGCTCTGGCTCCCCCTTTCTTTCTCTTTCTCACTCGCTCGCTGTGTGACCAAATAGTACGCGACTTTCTCGCACCTCTCTATGTGTGTGTAAGTGTGTGTGTATCCATATTGAAGCTGTGTGAGTGTCATTCGCGTGTTTAATAAACAGATACATCGACAAGTGGTACAGATATTTAGACAAACTGGCGGTCAGGCGGACGGGCGAACGAACTGAAATTCATTTCCATTGCGTTGGCGTTTGCATTTTAGCTGCGTTGTCATCGCCGTCGCCGTCGCTGCTGATTTTTCATTAGTTTATGCAGCACAATCTATATGAATTTTGAATTTTTTTATTTTTTTTTTTTTTAAGTATTTTATTTGCCCGCACATTCATCATTTTACGAGTTTGCCCCTATCTTTATTTGCCTGCTTGTTATCTCTGCCGCGAATTTGAAGCTGTAATCAAATTTCACGTTTCATTAAAATTATTATATCTCCTTTTTCCGCCGCGGCTGCAGCCGCCGTTTTGTCTATGCCAAAACAACATCAAAAATAACAAAAATTTCGCCAGAAATTTGGCTTGCTTGATTTTATTTGGCTCCTACACTGGAAAATTATGTTTACACAAAACAGTAAAAAAAAAAAGAAAAGAAAATCGCGAAAAACGAAACAAAAAGAAAACAACATTGCCAGTGCAAGGGAAGATACTCGTACTTTATAAGCAGCGCGACCTGACAAGCGTTATGAAGAGTTTTCCAAACTTGGCTGCATGCCGAACTAGCAAACTGATGCATTAAACTAATTGCAAAAACTTTGCGGTGCGTGTTTTTAAAGAGCAAGTCGGTAAAAAAAGGAGTCTAATAAATTCAAATCATAACAATAATATCTAATTTTGCTTGTGGCTTGTTGGGTTACAACATCAAACGTAATTCAATCGGTAACTATATCTGATATAGTTTTTAAAAAATGTCTGAGCCAAATGTGTGCATAAATCTATAAGCATGCATTATTTTACATTATAAAAATAAAATATTTAAAAAATAAAAGTGTTCTGGGAAAACATAGTCAATAAAAATTACAAATATACATTTGAGTAAATATTGAATATGGCAATTTACAGAAGGAAATTAAATAATATAAAAATTAGTCAAATAAAAATGCTAACGTTAATGAAAAAGACTATTGAAATTGAAGTCAAATAAATTATTTGCAAAGTAAATGAAGCGGACAAAATATTTTATTATGCACACATATATATAAAAACAAATCTTTTTGAAAGCATACAAAGTAAACTATTTTATATGTTAGTAGAATCGCATTTATGTGCTCACAGCAGAGCCAGCTGTCCAAAAAAAAAATAGGCCATTTCAATTCGCAGTGTTTCATATATATGTATATATATTTATTCATGTATATTTCCAACAGATATTCTTTGCTATATTTAGATACAATTTATAAATGCCGCGTTAGACTACATTGCGTATGAGTAATTTTCAACTGTAACGAAGATTGATGCAAGTTCTAAATACAAATCAAAATCTATTTAATTAATAACAAAGGCAACCATTTCCAATTGCAAAATATTTTGTAAGCAGTTTTAAAGACTACGCATAGTTTTTGTTTTATTCGTTCATAACAATAATAAAAATACCTTTTTGTTCTTGATACAATGAAAATTGCATTAGTTAGTAATAAGTTGTTTTGTGGATTTCACATGACGCACTTAAGTTGACTCCGATAACTCTGTCTTATTACAAATGGTGCCCTCTTTAATTTGTTGCTGCATCTATTATTAACTTTCTTTATTGCAATTTATTAGATTAAATTACGGCTTGAATACGGCAAATTGACAGCATTGTGAGATTCGCTGACTGGAAGCAAAAGTTTATTGAATCAAAGTTTTGTTATTGTGTGCTTGTGCTCGTATTATCTCATCAAATTTCCCATTTTCAAAGTCAAAAACAATCACGAAAGCTTATCAAAACGAAATCCGCAAAAAAACTAAACAAAACAAAAGCTCAGATTAATAGTTGAATTAAAACACATATTTCATCGCGTTAATTAGTGCGTTAATTATAATTATAGCTGCTCTTGTCGAGTCAGGTATTCAGTCCCTAAATAAATATAATAGATAAAATATAACAATCAAAACGCGTTTTGCATAATATAATTAATAAATTAATTAAAAATTATTTTTTAGGTGCGAGCTTGTCTAATTGAATTTAAAAAAATTATGGGTGAACTGAGAGTTATTATTAATAATACATAAAATATGTATGTAGCTCGTCAGGTCAATGACAGTTAACTGTTGGTTAAATATCAAATACGTTTACCATAATTTCTCCTCTTTTAATTAAACAAATGCTCACATTTCGTTTTAGTTCCGCTTTTGTATTTGTTTATTTGTATGCATTATACCCATTATAAGGGGCTTTACCGAGGGTATGTTGGTTTTGTTTGAACGTATGAAACACGTATTAGTAGTCTTTTTTTGTTCCGTCTATTGACAGAGCAGATCGAGTTTGTTGCTACAGCTGCTAAGCTTTCTACATATCCACAAAAAATTGTTAGGTTCGTTTGTTTTGGGCACAACTCAAAGAATTAAAGAGAAAAAGTAGACTTTTTGTAGAGTATACTCTGTTCAGGTATATTTGACTTTTTAAGACCAACCGCTGTTCCTCCTCTAATTGAAAGATGTATTGAAATGTTAATCACTCTTTACATAAAGCCATTTACACTCATATTTAAGTCCTACATTTTTGTATTTTACACTACTTAAAATGAAAAGCCGGATGCACATTTATAATTATCAACGATTCCGTAAATACAACTCATATTTTACATGGCTCGTAAATCAGATAGAGTCGAACAAATATCAAGTACAACGAGAATGTAAGGATATCCTCGGCACACCAAAGAATTAATACCTTTCCCTTTCAAAATGCTGAGATTGTTGAAAATATCTTTGTAAACAGAGTATTTTGCCATACAACTAATCTATTGTGCAACCGATTCTTCCTATTGCAACTATATGATATAGTGCTCTGATGTTGGTAATATTTCGCATACTTATAGGGGTCATAGAAAAACTTATAAATGATAATTTATCTTGATAAACATACAAGTTTTCTTCAGTTTCAGACTGGGGGTTGGGGTTGGGGTTGGAGATGGCTTCTTCTATGCGTTGCACATTTAGTGTCAAAATTATAATACCCTCTACAAGGGTATAATGAATTGATTAATTTGTACGATTGGCCGCCACATTGGCAGCGGCCACTTAACTTGGCAGCTACATCGAAGCGCATGAAGAGGGAAAACTGAAAATTATTAAAATAATTAAGCCGCCAGCGAAAGTAGCGGCTCCGTAGGCCAACACAAAACTTGACAATTTTAATGATGTTTTAAAAGTCGACATCCGACGTTTTTGTGTGTGCCGCATAATTAACACTTCTGCAACCGCGCGGCAGGCTCTGGGGCGCAGGACGTGTCAGATTGGGCGTTAAATGTCAACAATAAGCTGGCGGGTATTCGAGAGCTGCTGTTTTCCTTTCGTTTTTTATTTTCATTGGTTTTATGAATATTAAGCAGAGATTTGTGCCAACAAATCGCTGGCGATAGTCAACCAAAAATTGTGGGGATTTGTGAAGCGGGCTTTGAATTTATGCAAAATACGAGATTCGAGTTGTATTTTTCTACTTTTTGCACCGTTTTCATCTCTACTCGTTCTGTGAGTGTGTGTGTGTGTGTGTGTGTGTGTGTGTTGGGGTTTTGCGGCAGCTTCATTGCGCATTCAAGTGGCCCCGTTCGCCAAATGAAACTGAATATGAAAATAAAACCAAAACTTTTCTACATGGCCAATTGGGCATTTGAGCCGTGAATTGAAAGCTGGCACTGTTCTGGCTCTGCCCTGCTTGAATTGACAAAAGTGCTGCATTGGCCACCGAGTCCACCAAGTCCACCAAGTCCACCAATTCCGCTGAGAGTCTGTCCAAAATATATAAAGGACTGCTCGAGCAGCGCTGCTTTCATCAGCATTAGAGAGTTTTCATATAGCCTAATTTGAGGCGCTTTCAAATTACGTATGCGTAACGTGTTACGCGCGCGTAGTAAAAGGCGAAAGATGCCGGCGCGTTAAAAGGCAAATTAACAATGGCGAATACCAACATAAACAGCAACAATGACAGCCAGAATAACAACGACAATGCTGGCTCATCAGAAAGGTAAACAAAATGCGCCGTAAAATGGCAGGCATTTTGCCTACAAAACGAGCTAATTAAATGGCCATTAAAAATTCATATAAATTTGTTGCATGTTCTCACATGCTTCTGCTGAGTGATTAATTTTCATGAAAGGAAAAAGTGCCAGCAAAAAACTGGACATTACACAAAAAGGTCGAAACTCGTACCAAAAATTATGCTCACCTTTATCCATATTTATACATAATGAGTGTGTTCACGAGTATAATTAACATTGAAAGCAGCCCGTGCGTCAAATGTGAATATTCGAATATGCAACAACGACGCACGTCCTTTCACACACACACACACACACACAAACGCACACACAATCTGAATACATTTATTTAAATTAAATGCAACATATGAAAGAGGCAAAGGGAAATGCTGCTATTTTGCAGTTTCGTTCTGCGAAAATCCTATAAGTAGTTGCTGCTAACAATTTCTATGAATGCCCTTTTGGCTAGTTTTATGTTTCTGGTTTGATACCATTTTTTAGACGATTTATTTAGAATTTGGCAAATAGCTGCCGCCCCGAATTCAAAGCTCAAATACCAACAGAGCTGAGGTCCCATTAGGACTTTTATATTTTCCTATTTTTAAGCACACGCAACCGCACACCTGCTGCCATTTACACCATTTTATTACGAACATTTTGCGTGTGTGCCCTTTTGCTGCGGTCGCAGTTCGGTCAACTAACAAATAAACACACACACCCACACACACCTACGTGTATATGTTATTTGACACATGTATGTCATGTAACACATGCCTATAGCTAAAAAACAATAAAAAAATAAATTTTATCTTTGTTTAAGAAAAAATGCAGCTGTTAACTGACGCAAAACTCTTTAAACTGGTTAAAACTACAAA